TCCATATGCACAAGTTTATAATCGTATTATACGTTTGTAGTTTCTACGAGTTTGTCCCTTCGCCATTACCATTCGTAATTATTAAAAAAATATTTAAATGTATACAGTTGTGCACCAAAATAGGAGGATGCCGACCAACTTTTAGCTCGCAGAATGCATAAACTCTGTGCAAACTCATTAGTTGGGGTCGTGTGTATAAAACTGCGAGTTGTAACGTCGACCACGTACGACACAAATCCGTATAAACACAAAGTTTTCATTTATGGTTCAGTACTGATTGACCCGGCGTACCACCTTATCGGTTTTTTATGGTTCTATCTCAGAACGCCGTTGTTCGAGTCATACATGATTTTTTTCACTCTGCGCCAGCGTACGTTTATGCATATTCAATCTTTTAAACGACCGATCAGACGGTATTAGGCGGCAGCTTTTAAAGATGAAAGCGACTATTGTGTACGCACCAATACATTTTATAATATCACATTGTTCCTTCGTTTGTTATTGGCCTAGATTCTCTCGGGAAACGATTTTCTGCCCCGAGTGTCTACTTGTACAGTTCAACGGTTCAATCGGGTGCACATGCCGCGCATTACCTTCCGGTCAACGTGCCGTTTAAACTCGGCTCTCGTGTACCGTACGTTTCGCAATATCGACTGGTGACAGATGGGCGACCGACCATTTGTCTTTTTCGGCTGTACTTCCTAGACGCTTCTACTGTGTTCATTAGGTCTGCGTGTGACGAATGAATGAACGCGTCTGAGGACTTGTATTTGGTTGACCGCTCCACATATTGTTGTGAATACCTTTTCGCTTTAGTTGTCGATTCATTGCTTTAGACGGACATCTCTATCGTGCACATTGTATACATGTTACGGGTAAAGTATAAAAATGGTTAGTGTACATATTACCCGGGTAATGTGAACCTCATCCATACGAACAGTGTAATGTATACATTATCCACCTTAAATATGTAGTATCCAATCAATTTATACATTATCCGGTGTGCTGTGGATAATGTATTCGTATAACTATAATCGTAAACTTATAACTTCGGTAAATGGTACAGATTATACAAAGTCTTTCTAGTAGCAAAAACCAAATTATACTAATTCAAAAAAAAATTATTTATTATTATTACGATTAAACTATAAATTATATATTTGAACAATTTTACTATTTACTATTTACTATTTATTTTAAGCGAAATACAATTATTTATTAGAACAATTTGAGTTTGGATGACATTTAGAATTACAAAGTATTCCCCCGGATTTGCATTTACATTTATTTGTTAAGCATGTAGTTTTACATAAACACTTCTTAAAACCTTGACCACCGGAAAAAGATTGTTCATTAGCTATTTCACGCAAAGATTTTTTTGTGGCTAAAACTTCTAAAATATCTATTAATGGTTCAGAGCATACAGTGAATTGATTTCTGGAATAAAGTTGATGAAGAGTGCCATTTTTATTACCGAGTTCGTAATATTGATTATCACTTATAGACACAATCGCAAAGAGTACATTCTGTGGATCACCCTTACTTCTGTCTACTTCTGGTAGTTTGACTCTAACTGTGTCGCCAACATTGCATGGTGGGAATTTGTTGATGGATCTGAACTTCATTTTTTTTGCTTGTTGCTCAAGCGATAATTTTGAATTGCTTCTCTCATTTTCTATGGTGTTCTGAAACATTTTTAATAAAAATAAATAACATTTTTTCCTAAATAAAACTTGTTTTGTAATATAATTACTTTTTTATCACACAAACCACAAATAGATGTTTGTTCATTACCAAGAGTACAGCCACACGATTCACAGTAATTATCGGAAACACTATGATTTTCTCTTTGTTCATAGTTTGACACGACACTTTGCAATATTTCTTCCAATTCTTGTTCAGTGGTTAATTTTTCCACTGTTTCAGCTGGTAGTAAAAATGATGACAAACCAATTTTCACATCAGTACCAAACATGGCCATGTATGGAGATCTTTTAATGCCATCGTGGTAGGCCCTATTTTTCATTAGCTGTACAAATCGAAGTCCCTCTGACCATGATTTACAGTTATTTGTTTTCATCCATGTTATCAACATGTTTTGTATGTCTTGATTTGCTCTCTCGACACTTCCTTGTGACTGACTGTGGCGTGGCTTTCCGTGAACAATTTTCAGTGTGTCCCACATTTCTTTTAAGTCTTCTATTATTTTATTTGCAAACTCGCGGCCGTTGTCAGATTGTAATATCATCGGAGCTCCAAAAATACAAAATATGTCGATAAGGTGTTTTGCAACTTCTTCTGCTCTCTTTGTTTTTAAGGGTCTTAGTTGAACGAATTTAGTAAGGTGATCCTGATATACCATAATAAACCGGAACTCTCCATCCCCCTGCGACTGCATATCAATCAGGTCCACTTGGCACCTACTATTCATTTCCGAAAACACCATTGGTTTAATCACTAGACCCTTGTTTTTAGATTTTTGTTTAGATTGACACGATTCACAAAACTTTAAGTAAATAGACACTGCTTCTTGTGTTATATTTTTATACTTTTTTTTAACTTCAGCATTCATGCGGTGTTTTCCACCATGCCCAATACTCAAATGTACATCGTGTAGCACATCATAGATATTTTCATTAGTAATATAGTACAAAATGTTTGTATTACCTTCCAACAACGGCAATATTAATTTATCTTCTTCTCCAATAGTAATGAGGTCGTATTTTTTCAAAATTCGATATGCCTTGTTACTTTTTATTCCACTTGATCTCACATTTTTAATTTCCGAAACTATTTCATTATACTTAACTGCCGATAAATAAACTGAATTATTATTTTTTTCATTAACTATTTTATAAAAACATTCATAAAATTTTTCACGTGAAGTCATTTTAAAAACCTATTATATGTACGACGCGTGTATTAAGACGAACTAGCACTGTACTAAATATTATTGCGTGTGTTTCTTCATAAACATTTATCTACAATCGTTATTTTATCATATACATTTTATCAAAGTACTTTACCCACTCAGTCGTAGATAATGTGTAAAATACCCGAGTAAAGTACGAAATAAACGTTTTATAAATAGTATTTTTACTTTATCCAATAGGTACAGGTAGTGTACACATTACCCGGATAATGTGAACACTAACCATATTTTGTACTTTACCCGTAACATACATACTATACATTGCACGCGCGTTACGTGCGCTATTAAGTCACCTAAGTCGGCTCCGAGCTCGTGACCGGTTTCGTTCGTAGGCAAATCCAACGATTGCCTGTCAATTATTTACTTTGCCCGCACCTCTGTAAAACTGCTTCAGCGTCACAGTTCGAAAATGATCAGTGTAATTTATTGACATTACTTGTACGACTTTTCAGAATGCTTATAAGTCTTAAAAAATAAAAATATTCGAATGAATGTTTTGTTTCAGTGTATTAATAATAACATCGTGTTTACGTGTACAATTAGATTATGAACTCTACGGGACTCTCGACTACCGGACCCACCTCGATTTCCACTTGCCCATTATTCACTTGTATTCAGCTACCACAAATCGATAATCAATTACAATAATACACTTACTGAAGTACATTTTAAAACAAACTATGTTTATTTAGTCCACACGATCATATGCACGGGAAGCTTTAAAATAATAAATAATTAGTCAATGTCACATGAAACGGTTAACAAGTTAATCTTTAGTTGTATTTTGAATGTTAAGTTAAAAATTATCATTCCCGGTAAACCTGATGTGTTATTTTCTGAAGACTTAGTGAATACTATGCTATAGCAAGAGATATTACTCTCTCGGATATTAATCCTTTTTACATTAGATGTCATTTATTTCCAGGTCGTCTTCAATACGATTTGTACACTTGGGCCCATACCGATTATTTGTCGTATCATACAGTACTTTCTTACCTTCTATAAGTCTATAAGAAATAACACATGAAATCTCTAAACGTCCTCGGCGATTGTGAAGAATGCTCACCTTCACTCTGCGACCCTTAATAGTCTAAACATACTTAAATCATTACAGGTCAGAGAAATTGAGTTCACGTACAAGTTTCACGGTCAGTTTTCGGCGTCTTAGTGCGTTTCATAGAACTACATGCCATCAAAGGGAAACGAGGATTTATTTTTTTAATATTGTACTGCGTTCGAAATCCTTAAAGACACAAGTTGTACGTGTGTTTAAAAACGGTCTGTGTACTTTTGTAATAACTCCGTCGTCTGTAAAATTCTTATTAGCACGCGCATTAGCAAGTTCACTAAAAACGCGACCGTTTAAAAGGATGTAATTTATGCGTTTAAAAAACTAAACGTATATACAAACAAATAAAACTATGATTTCTAAGTGCATTTGTCCACATAATAATAAAGTGCTAACGAAAAAAGTATAAAAAGCAGCCATTAAAAAGACAGAACTCGTCTTAAGGCACAAATAAAATAAAATGTTAAGCAAATTCATTAAAGAAAACCAAAAACACATATTCGCGTTCTCCGATTATTTAATAGACTATCAAAACGGCTGGTACAGCCATTATACACCTGAATTTTATGTGGGTATTTCCTCATAAACATTTTACTGGAAGCGCAGATATGTTAACATGGCCATGAAGTATTTTTTAAGGGTTTTTTTCATTTGCTTTGTGAGTGTAACGTACGTGGATATAACACCGTCCAGGACAATATAGTATTAACTGCAATTACATTCTATATTTTTATGTTGTAAGTAAACCGTAAATCCTACAAAATGTGTATAGCAATAATAAAGCACTAACATGATGTTTATATTATTATGTGGGAATTTTTTAATTAAGAAAAAACGTTTCGTTAAATTATTTCTCATTTATGTTCAATATTAATAAACATTTACAAAAAATCGAAATCGTTAGTTATAAAAACACACACGCACACATTAACACCGATCAAAATTATTTTCAATATTTCTATGTGGACTTTTAATTAACGTTTTCAACATTTGTTTCAGTGATAAGCGGACTAGCGTCTGCTGAATCGAGCAACGTCGGTGAAGTAGACGAAGGGTCATACCTACCAGGAGGCGATACTCTAATGCAACCGGTGACGGCATCCAGCTTGGACGCACCGGTACAGCTGCCGATATTCCTCGAGGAACCGACTGACGCGTACGTGATCAAAGGAAAACCGGCGACACTCACCTGTCGAGCCGCCCACGCTCTCACGGTTTACTTCCGCTGTAACGGCGAGAGGGTCGACGATTCCATGGGACCCTCCCAGATGGATTTCGTCGACCCCATGACCGGTGTCCGGAACGTGGAGGCCACCATCAACATCACCAGAAACCACGTCGAAGAGTACTTTGGCCAGCACAACTACCAGTGTCAATGCGTTGCGTGGACGTCACGCGGTGACATAGTCAGTAGACCAGCCAACGTCATCTATGCATGTGAGTACCGCCATACATAAACAACAATGTTTCAGAGACAACACAACAAACGTCTGTTGTTATGTTGTCTCTGAAAATCGCACAGACGTAACGTGTACAACGACATTTATTTATTTTTGATTTCGAGCTGAATTTTCGTGTGTCGTTTGATTGAGTTACCGTCGTCGTTGTTGTCACTAAACGAATATCTGCAGATCGTGCGCTTGACTACATCGACTCGAACGATTAATTTCGGCGATGATGACACTTGTGGCTAGGCGCTGCAATCCTTAAACGGCTCTGAATACGAGAGAGTGTGATTCCACAATAAGAATTAACGGCACGCTAATTAAACGGGGCAGACACGCAACGCGGTGGTAGTGCGACTTTCTCCGTCTAAACCCGTTTTACGAGACAGAACTTGCCGTTTGTTTTACCCGAAAAAATCATTTTTCAAAATGGATGACAGCAGATATTTGTTGCCCCGCGTATTCGCTTATAAATATCGATTGGATCGTTAGAGTGGGCGCCGTTCATAGGAACGTTTCGCGCCATTTGTCGTTGTCGCACACGTTTCCCTGCCCGGCAAATCCGTCGAAAGCGATTTCGAAACGAAAGTGTAGTCACAGCTGCCGTAATCTGCTTAAAAGTTATGTGTTGTTTTTTGGCAGCTTACGCGTTTTACCGGTTGTGTGTAAACGCACGCGAGCCTATACACTGACGCGGACGTGTGGAAAAACACTTTCCATTGTCGTAAATGGTGCGGTTTGAACACTTGTTTACATTTATAGGTGCACGCCGACGGTAAGCATTGCAGTTGTCTATTGACAAAAATAACAACAGCCTTTTCAATAGGTCTAATGGAATTCCAAAAGTTTTGCTCGAAAACCTTTTACTTCTCTCCGCGAAATTTCCCATTGTTTTTTTCGATTTCCGCTCGCTTATTGGCATCGTTCGGAACCATAACGACACACTGCTGACGTTAAGCTTACCAAAAGGCGCGGAGCGACGTCGTCGTATCAATACCGTAAACGTCGATAAATAATAATTATTTCTCATTTCGGAGAGACAACCGTCGAGATGGCAAACAGACATCGTCGTCGAGTTCATAAAAACAATAAACAATCGTTACACTGAGACGAAATTGAAAAATTGTAAAACCACAATTATACAATAAAGAACCATAAAACTCGTTGTACAGTCCAATTAAAAAAATAAAACTGCTCTTCTCCAGACGACGTGCCGACAATAATAGGTCGTCGAATTGTTTTTGTTTTGCACGAAATTAACTTTCCTTGCCCATCCCCTACCCCTACTCGGGCAGACATGCAAGCAGATCGGGTTGGGGTACCGACATTTGTTTTTTGCGGCCAATTAATGGCGCATCGTTAGTACGACTGAAATATTCCGATAACGGTTTTAATTACCCTTTCTGCCCTCGTTCTGGATTTCTTTATGACTAAAAACTTTCTCACCGAGATTTATTGTTCTTTGAAATAAACCCAATAATTCTGCTCGACGTTTTTTTTATACAGCGAAACCCGTCCGCGGCATTCCGTGCGATAACACTTACGAAACAAGCTAAATGTGCTCTTCTTCTGTCGCAATGTGCAATAAGGGCGAAAATATCATGACAGTTTTGACATAATATTTTCTTGGCGGAATAAGAGACTACGGATGGGTTCTTTTTATATTCGTATAATTTACATTTTATAAAGCCTTTAGTGCTTTGAAATGTTTACATTGTCTTATTCAAAGTAGGTAATAGTAAAAAGGAAAAAAATACTATCGTTTTTTCGACTCCGCCGTTTTGCGAGCGTCTGATTAATTATTTATGACATTATACATTTTGTCATTTTTATTCATTTCCTTTAAAAACGTTTTCGCAGTATTCGCATTTTTTGTTTAATTAACGAACTCTCATCGTTAATTAATATCAAAAATATTTTTACAAAAACTTATAATTACTCAGTTGCTGAGATAGACAATTATTTTTATGGCTTCCCGTTTGTAAGTCAGCGCAATGTTTATTCAATGTGAAATCAATGGCACGAAAAACTCTTTTAAAGTTATATTTTTATTTGACGTGGATGGGTTTTAAATGACTCGTAAAGATCATTGATTGTTTGCTCTGATTTTGAACAATACTTATGTGACACTCCTTCGCATGTGTGTGTTAATCATCGGCGTTCGTGATCAAGTGCCGGACCCGGCACTTTTTCGAGTGTGTTTGTCTGCACAGTATTTTGGACGGTCGCCTTGGCCCTGACGGGTGCAAATTAGACGAACGATAATTTCGCAACGATTCGCAGCATAGCAAAGGGAACAACGGTTTTTGTCACGTACGTGTTCGTGCTTTTCGCGTGACAGTTGACATTTCCAATGTACAGGATCGACAACGGCAAAAAAAGGAAAAAGAAAGCAAGTCCCAGCTGGACGCACAGTCGAGCCCTCCCCGATAATCATCATGTCGTACGCGGAGGGTGAGAATTCGTTCGTTTCAAAAGCCTGAGCTGGCGGGGAGTCCTAATAACAAACCACCGTGTACTTCTGTCCTCATTTCCATCATAATGAACGCACGAGCCGCGGTGTCGGACGCGTTGGTCGACATCATTAAACCAGTGGTAGTCAATACTGACAATTAATAAAGAATCGGTCCAATTACAATTGAAAAATTTGTTCAGCTGTGAACCTGGACACGCGCAACACAAAAACAATGCACTTTCCGATGAATTCCAACAAAGGACTCGCTACACGCTAGGAAAACGTACACGCTTTTCCAACAGAATTTTCTGCTGATTATGTTCGTCTTTGATACGAGTCTATTCCAATGGGTTCGTTAAAACTGTTTGATCTTTAATCAGAAGTTCATGAAATTTTATTAAGTCTCTTCGTGGCTAATAATTGTTTTAATGGTCCATTGTACCCCTATGATATTTGTGACTCTGCTAGCCAAGAAATAATCTCGATTTATTATTATGATTTATTGGGTACCATACCTAACTCTTTCCATGGACACTTGGCAACTAACCACTTAAATCTAATATATTCATAGATATGCATGTTTATTCGGTTAAGCCCTAATAACTTTCAATTGGCAAATGATTGGGATTTTGTGATAATCGATGATATTAAACTGAAATCTACTTGGCAATGTTTGATAGTCATAATAAAGAAAATTGTATTGCTCATGCGCAACTGTCACAACTTCCTTTTTGACAGATTGATGCGGTTTATCGACGACAACCGGCCTATGACTTAAATATAAATATTGTTTGGCACCGTTTGTTTTTATTTCATGTTGGCGTCCAAGCCAAGCAAAACCAATAACAATAATAATTGTTGTTTGTACAAGCTGTCATGTTAGACATCAGGTATCCCGCAGAGCTCATGACGATCTTGGCTCTTATCTTTACACGGTACCTATCCGTATTTATACATTGACAGTGATTCCGGAGTCCCATAGAGATCCCTCGTTTAATGGTGGTCGATTTGTTTAAATGTTTTCAGACTCATTTCAAGCGATTTTAACGATTAGAAATATTTTTTGTTCATTGAAAGTCACACCCCCGTTATGGTTTTTCTGATGTATTAATTTCAGCTGTTTTCTATTATTGTAACTCTTTCTGCTTCTGCAATCTCGAACAATAGCATTCGGATGTTTCGACTTTAGCGCATGTCATTTCTTTTTTTTTTTTTTTTTATCATTAGGGTGGACTACAAATGTTAGCACATGTACAACACGCGACTAAAAGGGTTTTTTCCGATGAAAAGGGAGGGTACGTCTGCACGTCTGCATGAAAGCTTTGACGTCAAAACCGGCTTAAAAGAACACATCCCGTGATTTTTTCGAAAACAATAGTCTGCGAATCATTTGTACTTTGATAAAAAGGCGGGTATGAATGTGCAATAACAATAACCGAGGTAATTCTTTTTGTCATGTAAACTTCTAGTAGAGCTCTCGAGAAAATGACTTTTGATACATCGGAGTGTCACACGTGGCATGTGTAAAAATATATACTGCATGAAGTTTTCATTGAAGAAAAACGGCATTAAACGTCTTTTGAATGTATTCATATCATAACTTATTCGTTTTTTCTACTTTTTGAGTTCTATACATTTTTATAAACATGAGAGATTATTACTTAGACCATAAGACAATGAATAATATTACTTATAATGCGTACGTTATACTATTACATAACATTCATCCGGTTTAATCACATTAATAGTTTACCCTAATCAGAATGAAATTATTAATCTTATGTCATACAAAGTATTTACACAAATTATTTCTTAATTTGCACACAAACATCATTACCATTATTCGATTGTTTAAAAATTTATAAAGTACCGTTTGGAATTTTTTGTGAGACTATTGTAAAAAAACTCTTTATTTTTCGTAATTTGTCGTAAAAATATAAAAAAGAATTAAGAATTTATTGCCAATGAGTTTTATGTTAGACTCTCATTTATTTTTAATAGATAATAAAATAGTAGTGGCCTTGTAACCGGAAACCACTCATCTAAATTCAGGTGAGATTTATTTCTCCAAGAAACTTTACTTTGGAGTCATTTTACTGTTTAAAAACTTTTTGTAAGTTCTCGGTAAAGTTTAAAAGGTTCAAAGGGATACTCTTTATAAAACCATTGTCTTTTTATACTAACATGCTAATTTTTTACTTTATAATTTTCAAATGTTGTTTTATAAATCAGGAAATGACATGCCCTTCAAAATGTTCAACTTGAAGTTCAATATTTCACTTTAAAAGAAAATTAACTGAAATAACAAAAAAATAATATAATTAAAGTAATCGAAAGTAACATAAAAAAGATCGTTTATTTTTAAATCGTTTTCCGATTAACACACACTAAATTTAAATTATCGTTAAATTTCTATAAACTGTTGTTTCCAGTGAACTGTGTAAACTCAAAAATGATGTTCAACGAAAGGAATAATTTGTCAAAGGCAAAGTGCATTTCAGCTTAAAGTACTCAATAATGACAACACGCCGCATCTT